AATGCACAAAGACATAATACCCTGACCACCTTGTGGTGTGGAGTATAAAAATGTGTCAAAAATTATCAGAATTCCGAATATCGGGAGGTACCGTAATATGGGAGCTATACATAAGGAGATAAACGTGGACCTATACATACAATGTTTCGGATCACGAGCTAGAATCTATTATGACTTACAAATACCAAAATTTAGACAAATCCGTGGAATAATGTGGCAAGAATAATCAAAATACCGAATGCCGTCATATGGGGACTATGCCAAAACCTTAACCGATATATCTCATTTTCTATACCGACCATCCTAGACACAATACACATTGCATTTTCAAGCTCTACGTCAAATAATGTGGGCTGTATCAGTGAAGGGTGTACAAATATTTTTCTGGCCCACTGTGTTATGAACCTCAACGCTTCTACTTCTTTGCATTAATTCATTTTGAATGTCACTTTGTAAAGCCTTAACATTTCTATATATGCCGTTCTCTCTTTAATATTATCTGTGATTAACTACAGCAAAAAGTTTTTTTTCTAGCGATAAATGCATTAATATCCTTAATGCCACATACAATACGATTAATATACTATGGCTGCAAAACCGCATATATTCACTTTGAATGTATTCCCAAACCAGCCAACCACAACAACAACACATGCAACTACAACAATTGTGCACACATCTAGTATTAATTATATTTAACAAATGTGTAAACAATAAGCAAATATAAAATCTCTTGTGATATATTTCTAGCACTACATTATTACTTATGTTTAGCATATATCATTGTGTGCATCTGCCGCTGGGAGCGTATACGTTTTTGTTAGATGAGGGGTGGGGGAGGGACAAGGCGGGGAGTGAATTTTGGTCATAATTAAAAATCATAAAGTTGCACATGAACACACTCGTAATTATAGGGATATGCTGCAACTGCTGTTTATGTTTATGTCTTCCAAATGCTGTTGCAACAGTGTGTGTATGTGTGTGCGATTGCGTGTGTGTGTGTTTGCATAATATAATTTCATATTATACAAAACTTTATAGTCTCCGAGTTTAGATTACAAAATGACAGTGGAAAATAATTATATTGTGCATATGAGATAGCATGAGGAGGAGGACGAGAGGAGGAGAGGGAGGGAAGGGCTGGGAGGAGGAGAACAAAGCCAATGTATATTTCAAAAGTTTTAAATTCATACGAAATGTGATAAGGAATGATTTCCAATGCAAATTATGGTGACAGTGGTTGACATACGAACAGAATGATAATTATGAAATAAAATTTAAAACCCCAACACACACACAGACACACACATTTACTTTCATTCAAAATTGTCTATTAACTTTGTTGTGTGGTTTTGTGTTTAACTCTTCGAAATTATTTCTATGGCATTAATTGAGGAATATATTTCCACATAAATACTTATTTCTTAATAAACAATAAATCACAGCTTCTTGTTGGAGATTGTTAAGCCGAACATAGGGAATAGTTTGACCAGGCCAAAAATTTCTCTTGTAACGGTGTCAACATCTGCCATATCAATTTGAACATTATTTAGTTTGGTACATCATCGACCATAATGTACAAGTGCAGGCAGCTGGAGACCGATAGCGTTCTCTCTTTACAGCATCATCATCATCATCACCACCGTCAACATCAGTGGTAGCAGGAAAATCAACAACATCTACAACATCATCGACAATCATTACACATTTTTGCGTAGTTAAATGATTTACTGCTGACAAACTTTGATTTAATGCTCTTGCGATGGAAAAGCAGGGGAGAACATTAGGGTGGATCGTCATAATTGCTATGAGTGATAGTATTCAATTTGCAATATAATTTTGGGTCTTATCACAGAGCTAGAGATTTTCAATACTGGGTGAGATGAAAAAATGCAACCAACTTTAATATTTGGCTGGAAAACCATAAGTGGCTATCGTAAGAGCACTCCAGCATTTAAATGTGAAACAATCTTTTGTGTCTCATACCATCACTCGGTACCGTGATACTGGTAGCGTAGCCCGGCATCAAGGAAGTGAACGGAAGAAAACAGCGACATCAGCAGAAATGTTTCGGAAAGTAAAGAAGCGACTTGATCGAAAACCGCGTCGCAGTGGCCGAAAAATGGCTCGTGAGCTGAACGTATCGCAATTTTCCATTCGGCAAATATTGAAAAATGAGCTCTGGGTAAAGCCATGGAAATTTCAAAAAGTGCAAAAAATTACACCGCAATAGAAAGAAAATAGACTCAAAAGAGCTAAAGAGTTGCTTCGCTTGGGCGAAAGTAATGAACTGCCGAATTTGATTTTCTCCGATGAGAAAACATTCGTTGTCCAGCAGTTTGTAAACAAACAAAATGATCGTGAAAGAGGTCAGCTGAAAATGGTTGACCACCAGAACACAAGCGCCAGCCATGGTGATGGTGTGGGCCGTAACAGCCATAACAGCCGACGGTCACTCTCCGCTCGTATTAATCGACTGTGTCATCAGAATGAATGCCGAATATTATAACGAACATATTCTGGAGGGTGTATTAAAGCCTTGGGCACGCAGGCATTTTGACCGCAGACCTTGGATATTCCAACAGGGCTCAGCGTCATCGCACTCAGCACGCGCCACCCACGAATGGTTACAGAATGTGGTTCCTCGCTTCATTTCCAGCGCACAATGACCACCAAAATCTTCAAGTATACAATCCGTTGGACTATTGCGTCTGGAGTGTTTTGGAAAGCAAGGTTGGCACTAAAAAATACCAAAGTTTCGATCACCTCAAGCAAGCGCTTCGCCGGGAGTGGACCAAAATACCGCAGAGCAACATTCGTGTAGCGTGTGACGGATTCATTGGGTGTTATAAGGCCATAATTCGAACAAATCTAAACTTATTCTAAAATGTGATGCTAATTCCGACATTTGTTGCTTTTATTCAATAAAATTTAAAAAAATATAGAAAAATTATGGCGTTTGACTTTGTTGCAGTTTTCACAGATCTGTCATAGATCCGGAGATTTTCTATAGAAAATTGTTATCTATCACAGATGGATATTTTTTGAGACAATTTTCTCTCTGACCTATCACAGATTGAAATTTTCTTAGAGTTGTTTTCGCTGTGATCTATCACAGATGAATATTTTCTTAAAAAATTCCCTCTATGATCTATTACAGATGGAAATTTTCATTTTTCTTGCTGTGACACATATATATATATTTTTTTTGTTTTAGAAAATTAACTCTGTGATCTATCACAGATGGAAATTTTCATAGAACATTTTTTAATGTGATCTATTTAATGTGTTTAATCTATTTAGTGTTTAATCTATTTAATGTGAGATTGAAAAATTTCTTAGAAAAATTCTCGCTGTGATCTATCACAGAGGGAAATTTTCATAGAAAATTTCTCGCTGTGATCTAGCACAGATTGGAAATTTTCATAGAAAATTTTTAGATGTGATCTATCACAGATTGGAAATTTTCATAGAAAATTTTTAGATGTGATCTATCAAAGATTGGAATTTTCATAGAAAATTTTTAGCTGTGATCTATCACAGATTGGAATTTTCATAGAAAATTTTTAGCTGTGATCTATCACAGATTGGAATTTTCATAGAAAATTTTTAGCTGTGATCTATCAAAGATTGGAATTTTTATAGAAAATTTCTCGCTGTGATCCATCACAGATTGTAATTTTCATAGAAAATTTCTTTGCTGTGATCTATCACAGATTGGAAATTTTCATAGAAAATTTCGCGCTGTGATCTATCACAGATTGGAAATTTTCATAGGAAATTTCGCGCTGTGATCTATCACAGATTGGAAATTTTCATAGGAAATTTCGCGCTGTGATCTATCACAGATTGGAAATTTTCATAGAAAATTTCGCGCTGTGATCTATCACAGATTGGAAATTTTCATAGAAAATTTCGCGCTGTGATCTATCACAGATTGGAAATTTTCATAGAAAATTTCGCGCTGTGATCAATTACAGATTGGAAATTTTCATAGAAAATTTTTAGCTGTGATCTATCACAGATTGGAATTTTCATAGAAAATTTTTAGCTGTGATCTATCACAGATTGGAATTTTCATAGAAAATTTTTAGCTGTGATCTATCAAAGATTGGAATTTTTATAGAAAATTTCTCGCTGTGATCCATCACAGATTGTAATTTTCATAGAAAATTTCTTTGCTGTGATCTATCACAGATTGGAAATTTTCATAGGAAATTTCGCGCTGTGATCTATCACAGATTGGAAATTTTCATAGGAAATTTCGCGCTGTGATCTATCACAGATTGGAAATTTTCATAGAAAATTTCGCGCTGTGATCTATCACAGATTGGAAATTTTCATAGAAAATTTCGCGCTGTGATCTATCACAGATTGGAAATTTTCATAGAAAATTTCGCGCTGTGATCAATTACAGATTGGAAATTTTCATAGAAAATTTCGCGCTGTGATCTATTACAGCTTGCAAATTTTCGTATGTGATCTATCACAGCTTGGAAATTTTCATAGAAAATTTTCGTATGTGATCTATCACAGCTTGGAAATTTTCATAGAAAAGTTTCTCTGTGATCTATCACAGATTGGAAATTTTCTTAGAATAGTTTCTCTGTGATCTTTCACAGATGAAAAGTTTTTGATAAAATGGGAATTTTCAAAGATATTTTTTCATTGTGACCTATCACAGATGAAATTTTATATAAAAATATTCTCTTCCCTTAAATTTCCTAAGGTCCTTTCAATTATGGAGTCGAGTTCCCAATGTTTACTTACCACAAATTATTCGGAGTTTCCAATCGTATGGCCATCCTTATTTATTAGAAATCCTATTCAGCCCATTATTTGTTTTAGAAATCCTAAAAGTAATATGCGTTGCGTTGCGAAAATGTATATGTTATTTATGTTTGAATGTATGTATGCTGATTTGATATTTATTGTTGTTGCCCTTGTTATGCGTTTAGTTTGGAAAATAACAAGGCTGATGTTAGCGTGCGTGTTTTACGCTGATGTGTTTCCATGTCAAAAATAGAGGAAAACGGATGTTGCTGATTTTCCGCTGTAAATGATTTCGCGAACACATACATACATACTCGTACACACACCAGTCAAGGCCAACACGCATCCACAAGATTGATTGCCACGCACATAATTTCTATGACTTTTTACACTGTTTACATCATACTTAACCGCTTGTTTAATTGAAATGCAACAAAACAAAACTGTGTGGCTGTTTATCTTAAAGCTTAAATTATCTTATATTTAAATAGTTTATATAAAATTAAATTACAAAATATATATGTTTATTATAATTTACAAAATAATTAATTATTGTCTCTCATCGTTAGGGCTAAGATAAATTATTTTAGTTCAGTTTTAATTCTAAGAAAAAATAATAACAATTGTACTTAAACATTAACAATAATATTGTAAAAATATTGTCTTAAAAATCAATATCCCAGCCGCTGGTTTCAGGTGGTGGATCTGCTTCGTTTTCCACACCGGATGGTCCAAAGTGTTGCAGATCTGTCAGATGATTAATGGGTCGTTTTATGGGCGAAGACAGCTGTTTGTTTCGCAATTTCTGCCAATCCAGGCCATCAAACCAACTGCAAAAAATTGAAATATGTAGAAAAATATTAAAAAAATAATTTTAATATTTTTTTTTACTCTTCGCTTACCTATGCCTTTTAATATCCAAAATGCCCTTCCGCTGATAGCCCAATCTCTCGGCCGGCAGCTGTTTGCACAAGGCTCGTATTAGATTTTGTGCCGATTTCGGTATTTTCGATGGCATTTGCACCACATCAATGCCACCCAAAATCTGTTGATAGATTTTTATTTGATTCTGTCCACGGAACGGTGTCTTCCCCACCAACAGCTCAAATATCAATATTCCCAAGGCCCAATAGTCCACCGAACGATCGTGACCTCTGTCGAGTATAATTTCCGGTGCCACATATTCGGGCGTACCGGCGAAAGTGTGTGTCTTTTGATTGGCTGGTATATGTTTTGCAAAACCAAAATCAACCTGGAAGAGAGAATACATAACAAATGTAATAATATTTTTGGAACAAATGTATGAAGTATAATTTGTTAATAAATATTTATAAATAATAGCTAATAATAAATAATTAATAGATGTTTATAAATATAGCATAGAAGATCTTCGTGATAAGCATACAATTCTAAGTCGATCAAGGACAACAAGAGGTACACTTATAAGGGAAATATTTCTTAATGTGGATCGTAAGAGCCCAGTTTCAATATCTAATATTTTAGGAATACTCCGACTTGGCAACGATGTCTAAAATATTTGGTATTGAGTGTGGACAACATCGGTCTACATTAAGTTGTAGTCCTCCTATAAAGGTATCTCTGCATTCTCATAATTGGAAGGGTTTCGTCTCATTTTCAATGAAATCAGCGCTAATTGGACAGTGAGTAGGTTACACGGAACTTTTCTTTTAAAGGAGTCTCCTGATTTTGGTTATTTTGAATGGTTCGCCTCTAATCTGCAGATTTAGTTTGTCATATTGGTTTCTTAGTTGGTAGTCTAACGTCATTTGAATTCGTTTTAAATTCCGAAAATTTAGTAGTACTTTTCGAACAATCGTAGTACGCATTCCCGAATTCATCTTCTTCTCTCAAAACAATATACCAACAGTGGCCTCCATATAAAATTTCAGAATTCCAGTTCTATTCTAAAACCCAATTCATGCAGTTATACTACACATGTCGAAAACCACCTCCTTCTCTCCACCCTAGACACCAACATTGAGCTCGATAGCAAATTTCATAATTCCTTTTCTATCCCAACACCCAACGGTACGGATTGTGGCATGTTGCACTTTTCGTACGTTCATATTACGCATATCCAAAACCAGCTCCTTCTCTCAACTACAGATACCAACAGTGACATCCATATCAAATTTCAGGATCCCAGTTCTATCCCCTCACCCCATACCAAAATTAGTACTGATAAGCAATTTTCGAACATTTATAGTACACATTTTTAAAACCACCTCCATATCTCAATTCCAGATACCATGAGAGACCTCAATATCAAATTCCAGCCTATTCCTACACCCAATATCAAATTAAGGACCATTTAGTACAAAAATAAGACGCATTTTCAAACCACCACCGAATCTCAAACTCTGATAGGAACAGTGGCCTCAATATAAAATTTCAGATTTTCAACTATTTCCCTTTGTCACGCACCGAATTTATTATAATTTAGTACGCATATACATAACAATTTACACCTCATCATCCTAGACATAAACATTGATCCATAATTATTACAATTTAGTACTTTTCGAACAATTATAGTACATATTTCCAAAACAACATCAATTCCAGATACCAACAGAGACCTCAATATCCAATTTGAGGATATTCCTATTCCTTCACTCAGTATCAAATTTGGTATCATTGAGTACCTTTCGAACAATTATAGTACACATTTCCAAACCCATCTCCATATCTTAAACACGGACACCAACAATGACATGTATATCAAAATTCAAAATTCCATCCGCCCTTATACCAATTTTCAGATTTCAAGAACTATCTATTCACCCGATACCAAATTGAACCAAATATAGTACTATTTAGGACTTTTCGTGCCCTTGTAGTGTCCATTTTCAAAACAAACCTACCACCAACAGGGACCCCAATACAAAATATCAAAATTCCAGCTCCATCCGTTCACCATGACCACATTGTTCAAATTTGTGTAATTAGTACCATTTATTGCACATAATTGCGAATTTTCAAAGCTTCCTCATACCTCAATCCTATTCTCCCGGAGTAATCCCAGTTTTAAATTTAAGGATTCCGCACCTATCGGTTATACCAAATTCGAAATGTACTAGATTTAGTACCATCTAGTACGCATAAATACAAATATTGAAAAATTTCCTACATACTCAAATTCTATACTACCACTGTAATTTCCAATTTAAAATTTCAGGAATCCAAATTGGTTCGCCCAAATTCCAAATTGTACCAAATTTAGTAGCATGTAGTACGCATATGTATGAATTTTCTAAATTTCCTACATACCCTAATTCTACACTCCAACCGTAATCTTAATTTCAAATTTCAGTAAATTTTCGTACATTGAAGTACATATTTCCAAAACTACCTCAATATCCCAATCCTACACTCCGGTAGTACTTTTGTTTCCAAATTTCAGGATTCCCCCAAATCAAAATTGTATCAAATTTAGTACCATTTAATACCTTAACTATGAATTTCAAATACTAAGTACATACCTCTGTCCTACAATGCTACAGTAACCATATTTCCAAATTTTACCATTCCGTTTAGGACTTTTCGTATACAGGATTACATATTTACTCTATACATACCATACTCCTCTACCTTGACATCCATTCCAAATTTCAAGTTTTTAGCTCTAACCGTTCACATGATACGAAATGGTAACAAATATATTTCATTTTAGTACATTTCGTACACTTATGGTACGAATTTTCAAAAACCCTTTGGTACATTCATCACATTATTCATCATTGACCCTCATTCAAAATTTAAGAGCCTCTAACACTTAATACATTTTAGTGCCATTCACTCAGGGGTAAAAATTCAGCCGTATCATACACTTTCGGACCACCCAAAATTTCCCGACTCTAGCCTCAGCCGTTTCGTCCGGGCGTTGATGAATCGTTATGTCAGTCAATTACTTTACTATTTTATTAACATAGTTTACATTCAATCCATCGACAAGCGACGACCGTAAACCAACCAATGTTCCCGATTACCTTCAAATTGTCAACATCCCGAGCTCCGACATCAATCCAAACACCAACATCGTAATTCCTGAGTACATTCAATCCTTCAACATCGGACGACAATAAATTAATGTTGCAGATTACATGCAAATCGACAACCTCAAGAATGCCGACATCAACCCGAACACCTACATCGACGACAACCATAAATAAAATTCAAATCGTCACCGTCCCGATAATAAACAGAGGCTGTGCGGGGCTCAGACAAAAACCGCATTTGGTAAGAATGCTCCCAATATAGGGAGTTACCCTTATTTTGGGGCCTATTCCAAGACATGGATCTGTATATGCGATTTTTGTCATTTTAAGACATTCCAATGCCATTAAGACATTTTAATGAGAAAATTGAAATAATTTCTATAAAAATGTCGCTAAAATTATCAGAATACGGAATATATGGAGATACCGTTAAATAGGGCCTATACGAAGTCCTGGGCCCCATGAGGAACTTCAAATTCCAATTTTAAAACATTTCCAATGAAAAGTGTGACACAAATCATCAAAATTCCGACTACAAAGGAGGTACAATTATATGGAGACTATACAAAAATTTAGACCTATATTGACAGTTCTATGCAAGGAAGTTTCTTATGTAATTTACGTCAAATTCGAGCTAAACATTTTACTAAAACACCCAAAAAACCTTAAATCTGTCGGTAGCCATATGAGGACTATACCAAAATTTATCACATTTTCAATACCAAAAGTCTAGACTAGACACACATTTGAGTAAAATTTTATCAACTTATTTAATTTTGTTCGGAAGCTAGAGTGATTTTCACAGGCGGACAGACATACAGATGGACAGGCATCTTTAAACCGACATAGAATTTTACTCTGATCGAGGTGTTACAAACGGAATGACCAACTTAATATACTCTCCGTGCTATGGTGGAGGGTAAAATAAGAGAGTACTCAGAGTGAGTAGAGTCTACTCGACTTCTAGCGGATTTTACTCCCACTCGAAAAATGTAGTATGTTCAATTCCCGCTTGAATTCGTGCGAGACAATTTTCTGCCACAAAAGGTAGAATTCATTACAAATTCTAAATGTCAAATTTAAAACTATTCCGACAAGCAAGTGTGACGTTCACTTACAAACGCCATTTTCTCTTCTCATTGTTTACTCACCAGCTTGCAATATCCATCGGTGGTTAACATTAAATTCTCCGGTTTCAAGTCTCTGTAGATAATATTATGTGAGTGTAGAAAATCGAAAGCTTCCACAACACAGCCAGCGATAAATCGTGCCGTCTTCTCATCGAAGAAACGCCGTTGAGACATTACTGTCCAAACATCACCGCCCATGCATGCCTCCATCAGGAAGTAGACAAATTTATCGTTGCGGAACGTTTTGTAGAGTCTAAAAATTTAAATTGTTTGAAATTACAACGAAAACATTAACATTAAAGGTGAGAATATGTGGGGCGATTTTTTGGCATGAGTCATGGCTTTTTCGTAAAAAAAACTATGGACTTTATGGTTGACAGGTTTAAATTAGAAGCCGAAACTGAGCCAAGTCAACCTAAATGTTTCGCTCTTATTCCAAAAAAGTCAGCTGATGATTTATGCCAGCAAAAATTTCTCTTGGCTCGCCAGAAATAATTTGTGTTGTACTTACTCTATGATAAATGGAGAGCTCCTACATTTCATCATAACATGTTTCTCACTGTAGATATGTTCAATTTGATCCTGCTTGACAATATCAATTTTCTTAACAATCTTCAAAGCGAATATCGTTTTCTTATCGTACGACACCAAATCGACTTTGCCAAAGGCACCGGCACCCAAAGTGGCAATTTTCTTTAAATCTGTTAACTCGATATTTGCATATTCATTATCGAATTCAGATTTACGATTGCTATCACGGCCCTCGGGATCTGAGCGTTCCACTGGCAGTTCTCGCAGTTGCGGTATGGTGCCCAGATAGCTGATAAATGCTCTAAAAAATAAATAGATAAATAAAATAAATTAATTCTTCTAAAATTTTTTTGATGGATTTTACTTACTCTCTATCCAGTTTTAGCACTTCTGTACCCGGAGCATCGGCATAAACACTGGCTTGCCGGCAATCAGCATTTAGCAAGGCCTGCTCACCAAAGTAGTCTCCTCTCTTGCGGTTATCCACGACTCGCTCTTCACCGCTCTCATTTAATTTCTTAATGGTTACAGTGCCACCTCGTATAATAAAGAACTCATTGCCAATATCACCCTCTCTCACAATGCAAGTATTTGTGGCATAGAATTTCTAAAATTATTAAATCAATTATAATAAAATATTAAATAAAAAATAAAATTTTAAATAAAAAATAAAATATTAAATAATTTTAAAATATTTGTATATAAAACCTATTTCAAAATAACTCACCCTTTGCAGCAAATCCACCACCTTATTGAGAACATCCTCGGACAAATCATTCAAAAACGGCGCCGACCTTAGGAAATTCAAATTTTCCTCACGCTCTTTGGATCCGGATATTACCATAATTTGACGGAATTTATCACGATCAATTTTCCACACCTTGGCATTTGTCACGGCTCGAATCGAAGCGAATCGTTTGGCATTATACAATATGGCCAGTTCACCAAACACCGTCTCACCACCAAATTGTCCAATTACATTGCCCTGTTTTATGACATCAAATTTACCATCTTCGGAAACATAAATTTCCGAACCTTCATCGTTTTCATTGATGATATAATCATTGGCTTGGAAATGCAGCATTTCCATGGCATCGATGACCATCTCTTTGCGTTCCTTATCCATGTAATTGTTGAGAAAATCATTTTTCTCAATTGCATTGCGTATGAGATTACGGGTTCTGAAAGAGAGATGGGAGAAATAATTAATAAAGAAATTCTTAGCGAGAGTCAGAGAACTTTGAATAAAATAAAATTAATTACGATATGTGACAAAATTATTGTTTTTTCAATTATTACAGGGAAAATCTAGCAGATTGTGAATGTCTATCTAAGAGACACGTATCGGCATTTTAAAACCTTACATCACAAAAGCAACAAAATGGAGGGGGGAAATTCCCCATCTTCCATATTTATTTGAAAATTTCGGATTAAGATTTCTTCGAATTCGTAGATTTAAATATATATAGTGTCTTACGTAATATTACAGAGAATAATTTTTGTAGAAAATTCTAAAACTCAGTAGAGTCAAAAAGGGGCCTTGTTGGCCCATTTTTTAAAAATGGTTAAAAACTCCCTTTAAGTGGGAGTCAAAATGTCAAAATGTTCTACATATTTATCTGTTATAAAATTCCACTTTAGAAGACATCAAATGTCTACCTAAACTCCAGGTATTCGTATACATTAAAAACACTTTTAGGGTTATAGTCGTACTTCATGTGAGGTTATGAAAAATTGTCCTACAAAACATTATTGTAGAAAGATGGGACTAAGGACAGAAATATTTTCCATTATAATTCACTAAAAGTCAAAAAAGAAAAGAAACCTCTAGTACGATTTTACATAATTTTTTTTTTTTTTCGATTAAATGCTTGAGCATAGGACTCAGAGCTTAGGACTCAGAACTTTTTGGCGTTTTTATCTACAAAATTTTCTTAAAATTTTCCTGGAATTATATAAAACCCAAATCTAAAAGAAAAAGAAAATATTTTTATGATAGACTATCAAGTGCCCGCTGCATCCTTTGTGAAAAGTCCACATTGAAATTTTAGATTCTTTTTAACAGTTCGAGTTAGACCCTTTTTGGTACTAAAAATTCAAAATTTGTTCAGTTTGACAACATTTTTAAATCAACCTGTATCTCTGTAGTATAAGCACAACCACCAATAGTGACGCCTATATCAAATTTTAGGATTACATCTCCATTCCTTTACCCAATACTAAATTTAGTACTATTTTGCACTTTTCGTATAGTTAAGGAACACATTTCCAAAATACCTTCCAATTTAAATCCCAGATACCAACAGAGACATTAATATTGAATTCGGGATTCCAGCTCTATCCCTTCAACCAAGACCGAATTATGGTACCCATTTCTAAAACAAGCTCCTTCTCTCAATCACAGACACCACCAGTGACATCTACAGGGTTGCCCAATAAAAAAGAAAAATAATAAAATTTGGCGGTTGGTAATATTAATCATTTAATTTGTTCCAAGTAGATTTGATTACATCAATTTTTGAATATCAAATGGCCGCCTCTGGCGATGATGACGTATTGTGCACTTTTTCCTGCATTTTCCATCGTTTTTGCCAACATTTCGGCCGGAATAGCGGCTATTTCTTCACAAATGTTGTCCTTGAGCTCTTCTACGGTTCTTTGCTTGGTAACGTAAACCTTTGACTTCAAATATCCCCACAAGAAGAAGTCAGGCTGCGTCAAATCGGGCGAACGCGGTGGCCATTCCACCACTTTTCGACATCAAACTTCAAATTCTTCAGAAAATCGAAATACGACTTGTGAAACCAGAACTGCCTCATACGTTTTCGACGAATAATTGGCATGACAAAATTGGTCATTATGTCGCGATAACGCTCCTGATTGATGGTAACAGTATGGCCATTTTTATTTTGGAAGAAAAACGGCCCAATGACCGTTTTCGCACTATCGCCGCACCAAACTGTGACTTTTTCATCATCAAGAGGCACTTTTTGAATCTCCTGAGGATTTTCAGTGGCGTAAAAACGGCAATTTTGCTTATCATCGGACATGATAATTTTGTTCCAAATTTGCTAGTCATCTTCGGCCATTTCGATGACACTTTGGGCCCATTCCAATCGACGAGGCTTGTCCTCAGGCAACATTCTTTGCGTCAATTGAATTTTGTACGGGAACAAATGCAAATCAATGCGAATAATCCGTTGTAAAGTGGACCGAGCCATGCCCAACTGCTGAGAACGGCGTTTTTGGGATGTTCTTGGGGACCTCTCAACACTGGCTCGTACGGCAGTGATATTCTCGGCCGATCGCCTTGGTCGACTTTTATATGGCCTCTTCGGATTAGAAAGAGCCTTACCAGTCGAAAATTTTTCGTATAAACGCTTAATGGTGTTCTTAGAAGGCGCACTTCTCACATTTTTAATGTTTTAAAAGCACGTTGAGTTTTCACAATTGACTTCTTCTGTTGAATGTAAATTTCAACTATTTCAGAGCGCTCACGTGGCGTGTATTGGTTCATGGTAAAAATCTGCTTGGACTGACGCTTCAAACGCGGTATATGATTAAGCGGTGTGACATCTCTGTCAAAAGTTATGGCGTTGCCAGATGGGTCCGTCAAAAATGGGTAACCCTGTATATAATATTTCAGAATTTCCACCACCATATCTCAATTCCAGATAATAACAAAGTTCTTAATTTGGGGATTCCAGCCCTATTAATTGGAATGCATTTCCGAACCACCTCCAAACTTCGAACATAGATACCATCAGTAATTTAAAATATCAAATTTCAGCATTTTATCTCTATTCCTTCACCCAATATGAAATATGGTACCGTTCAGTACTTATCGTACAATTATATTACGTATTTTCGCAACCAGTGACCCAAATTTTAGATTTCAAGCACTCTCTGTTCATCCAATTTTAGTAATTTAGTACCATTTAGTACTATTCGTACAATTATAATGCACACTTCCAAAGCCATCTCCATGTGTCCAGGTTACACATGAACGGCGTCACTTATACCAAATTTCACATTTCAAGCACTATCTCTTCACCCAATACAAAATGGTACCAAATTTGTACTATTTAGTCATTTTCCTGCACCTGTAGTATACATTTTCAAAACCACCTCTTTATCACAAACCTACCACCAACAGGGACTCCAAAAACCAACATTTCACATTCCAGCTTCATCCGTTCACCCTAAACCACACAGTTCCAAATTTTGTACCATTTATTACACACATTTCCAAAATCAGCTACATTTATCGAACTTACTTTCTAACCTTGATTATCATACCAAATTTCCATTTTTAGCTCTATCGGTTCACATATGTTCTATTCGAGGACCTGTTAGTTTTGGTATTTTTTATACCCTCTACCATAGTATGGAGGGTATATTAAGTTTGTCATTCCGTTTGTAACACCTCGATATTTACATCTTGAACCACACATAGTATATATATTCTTGATCAGCATAAAATTCTATGTCAATTTAGCGATGTCCGTCCGTCTATACGTCTGTCTGTCCGTGGAAATCACTCTAGCTTCCGAACGAAATGAAGTAGCTTGATAAAATTTTACTCAAATGCAGGACTTTTGGTATTGAAAATGTGCCCTGGGACGTTTTTAGCCCCTAAATAACGGTACCTCCGGATATTCGGTATTTTGATGATTTTAGCGACATTATTCACCGGAATTGCTTCAAATTTAGTATTTGAAGTTCGTAGTGCCTTTGAAGAAGCCTATGACAGAAAATTGTCTATGCAGGTCCACGTTTTGGTATAGCCCTCATATATCCTAATATCAATTCGGTATTTTTAAGATTTTAACAGAATTATTAAAGGATTTTATTTTTTGAAAATTTCCAAATTCGTTCCAAATGGTGGAGGGTATTCAATGTTCGGACTGGCCGAACTTACAGCTTTTTTACTTGTTTCGATATCATAAAGTTTTTTAGAAGTTTAGTACTATTTTTGAACTTTTTGTAACCTTAAAATTAGTCATCCATCCTGCCGTCTATCAATGACTCTCATTCCTAATTTCAGAATTCTAGCTCATTCCGTGTTCCAACACAAAGTATTAAAATTGTTGTACATTTTACTACTATTCGTTACCTTTAAGTATAAATTTCCAAAAACCCAGCCCTATCATACGCCTATGCACTAAGATTGTCCTTGGTGCAAAATTTCAAGTTTCATCTGGTTCTATATAACTTAGTCAGACATTTCACGAGGCTTATTTTGGTCCAAAACCTTTTCTTTCAAACGGATCAGCAAAGTGGAATTTGTTGTCCTGGATTCAAAATATTCTACAAAATTATTTCTAGTTTAGGTCACAGAAAACATCAACAGTCTAAATCTTTGGGTGTTTTATTCACAATTTCTAACCAAATTTGCTGTATATAGGCAGTTTGTTTTCTCGGTATGTTGGAATCATTCTTGCAAAGAACAATACATTTAGGTCCAAGTTTTTTGGAATAGACCTCTATATAACTGATATCCAGATATTCGGTATTTTGATGATATGTGTAATTTTTTTCACTGGTATATTTTAAAATTTGCAATTTGGAGTCCTTAATGGGCACTACCTCCTTGGAGAGAAAACTGCCTATATAAGTCCATATCATTGGTACATAATTCACTATTTAGCTTTAAATTTTGAACCTTCATCTAATATTCATTACAAATATCATTTCACTTACTTTTCATCTTTTGCGATATACTCGATTTTTATGTCCTTCTTGTTGGACAAATGAGGACGTGAAAATATTAGACCACCATCAACACGATGATATTTGGGACCTTCATCGCTGCTGTCACTTTCCTTGGGCGAGGCTGTTGATTCCTAGTTAAGTTATTAAAAAAAAAAAACAATTAATTTAAGCTATGAGAAAAAAATTAGGCATTTAATGAAAAAGGGATGAGCAATGGAAAATGCAACCTAATGGGAAAAATCAACCTTTAATTATCATGAATTTAATATGGAAACTCGTTATTGTCATTTGTCTTTTTTCATTTGCAATTTACCTCAATTTGAACACCTGAATCTCGAATATCACTGGCTGTTAAATTAGTGCCAGCATCCAAATTGGCATCTGCATAGGCACCATCCACCTCATCATCATCATCCTCATATTGACTTTGCAGAGCTTCGTGCAGAGTCATTTTCTTATCTGGCAATTCAACATTTAACTGGAAAATATATGGGGGCACCATAAATTCCAAGCAAAGAATAATGATGGCAGAAAATATTTTTCTATTTTTATTATTATTCAAGGTAAGTATGGCGGAGGCAGTAAGAGAATAAATTGGAAAGATTGAAAGAAGGAGAGAGTGAGAGAGAGAGAGACGTGTGGTTAAGGAATAACACAAAAAATTCAGTTTGCATTTCCATTCATTTTCATGGACTTTTCTATAGAAAGGGGTTATTTATACATAGGTATGTATGTATGTGTCTACATGTATGTATTTGTGTTAGTACAGCCCAGAATTAGATATAGATATACCTGTGGTAAGGCCAAAGAATATCCATGGCTGAGTTCGAGTTAGCTGCTGCTGTATGACAATAGGAAATTAATTAACACATAACGATGGCACAGGAAAAGGAAAACGACAAAAGTCTTGACGACATTAGACCGTTGGGGGGCAACACAGAAAGGTTTAAGGTTAAGGGTAAATGTATTTTCTTAATAGGTTTAGTCATGCAATAGAGTGGGGAAGAGGGATAAAAGAAGATGGAAAAATAGAAAATTACAGTGGTTCAAGGAAAATAAACCCCATTAGAAAATATAATGTATCCCAATACAACATCGGTAATTGGAGTGAAAAAATGTATGCAACAACAAGTAAAGGTCATTACTGTGTGGTAACACCACATTATGTGATGTGTTTGTGTGTGTGGGCCATTACATTTCTAGTTTGCTTATGAGAGTTAATACAACTATGTGCCATGATTTTCTGGGGAAATATTCATGTGTATGTTTTCCATAATTTTCAAAAACTAAGTATTTCAATATTTGGCTTTTTCCGGTTGGTAGAAACCATGGTACAATCATGGTACAATAAGGAGGTAGAGCAGCTTCGTAAAACTACAAAAATACAGCCCTGAGGCTATGCCCGCTTCCTGTCAGAATTATTCAAACTTATATCCAACAAGTTGTTTTCATTTATTTGATATTTTTTGTTCATTTTTAAAATTAGTTAAATAGCGCGAAAATTGAATGAAATGCCTGCCTCAAAAATGTGATCCTAAGTTTTCAATCTTTCAATTCCGTGGCAAACCTGGTTACTATCATTAATGTGCGCCCCGCAATTTGAGTTGCTTCCAATCATTGATTTTGAAAATATTTTATTTTTATTTTTCAAAACATAAATACATACCCAAAATTGACAGAAGTCGGGTACACTTAGAAAGAAATTGTAATCAGCTGAAAGCTCTACCTTACCTTTTTATTGTACAATGGGTACAATGATATCAAGGTAGGACTATGATACCATATGATTTTAATTTTTTTATTTTCTTGGCTTAATATGTCAACTTCATTTGCTTATGTGTGTGTTTTCTTTTCAATAACAAAAAAATTGTTCAAAAAACATTCATCGACAAAATCTAGAGTTTTTGTAGCGAAATAATCCTTTAGAGATATATAGCACATGATTTTGAAAAGAAGTGTTGACCTTTCATTCAGTTATCGTGGTTTTCAATTATTTATTCAAAATAAATGCAACAAGTTGATTTTTTATTGTTTTGATACTAATTCTGACATTACAAGCCAAACAGGTAGACCTCTATACTTGCAATTTTTTCAAAGTTGGCCTACCTTCTCTTCATTGTACCATGGTAGAAACTAATAATAATCAGAGCTGTTAGGGATACTATATACTATGTTTGCAGATTTCTTTTGTTCACAGACTCATAATGAAAATTAATTTAGATTTTTGTTCCTAAAAAAATAATTTTGTTGGGACATTTTTACTCGAGCTTAAAACATTTACTTTTATTTTGTAAATACAGGCTTTCGACTTATAGTGAACAAATTTTTCGTAGAATATTTTTATATTAATGTCAATCCTCTTAAACCTTTGTTTTTTCTATTTTTACAGATTTTTGTCTTTAAGGTAAGTATTGGTGTATTTTGAGACCTATATTCAAAATTTTGTGATGATAAAATTATGTAGAATATTTTGACCTAATACAATCATATCTTAATGGAGTTTTTAAATATTTTGTCAGAGAAGGGAATTACTCCTTTATTGTTTCGCCTAGTTATTTTTAACAAAAAATATACCTCAACATTTCCAGCGACAGTATTATTGCATGAATTCCAAGGAATCTTAACTCAAATCTTTTCAAATGATGTAGAAATGTACAAATTACCGCCCTATCTTGGCTACCTCCCGATTTTGTCGCACAGTGATGGTGAAAGACGTGTGACTGGTGAAAGACGTGTCATGACAATTTCTCTTCTCTTGTCTTCTTGTTTCTTTTCCTTTTCCAGAAATAATTTCGAATCATTTTAATATGGATTTGAAAACCTATTTTTAAACTTTGCACCATAGCATGGAGGCTATATCAAGCTCTTCATTTAGTATGTTACTAATCGAAGTAATAATTTTATTCCCAAAGAAGTATATATATTCATAATCAACGTTAAATTCTAATCCATTTTTGTTATATTCGCCCGTTGGTTTTAATTGAATTCCGAAGAAATTGAAATAGAATGCCGAAATTTGTTACACATCCGTTACGTGTCTGAAATTTGATCAAGTTCGAAGACAGGCTATATTGGTCAACTTTCTTACATTTTTTTCTCTCTGATGAATTTTTTTGCCGAAATATATAGGGTAAGTGTGCCTAAGTTCGGCATGTCCCAGTAGTCGGCACTTTTTATTTTTAAGCCCAAATAAATGAAACTATTATAACTAAATGTATTTTGTTTACTTCAAATATACTGTCAACTATCTTTGTGTACAATTTCGCTAAGAAAAGATGATTTATTCTAATAAAAATTAAATTTTTGTCTGTGAAGGTCCTCAACAATTCATATTCTTAAGAAAAGTACAATAAAGACGTCGAATCAGTTTAACTAAACAAAAATATTATATTTTAATGAATTAATTTATTATTATTATTAATTATTCTTACAAAAAAATTGGTATGCCGACTGTTGGAACATGCCATACCGACAATTGGCAAGTGGTGCCGACTACTGGCACAAAAGCATTGTTTTAATAAAACTACAAATTTATGAAATTTAATAAAAAGTTATTAAAACTTTATTTATTATTGCAAAAACTATACAAAATTTCGAATCTAAATAAATTAACTTTGTAATAATTGAAAAGTTCCACTCAGAATGGTGAGCGATTAAAAACGCGAAAATCCTAAAAGTGCCGACTACTGGTACCCTTATCGTAGTATTCTATAAAAGACTACCAGTTCTTAATTTCAAGTTATAAATTGGGCTACTAATTTCAATATACATCGAAAACTTTATATAGGATACAGTTGCACAAAATCATACTTTTCTGTCAAATTAATTTCCAAAATTGGGTACACATGTAAATGTAGCTTTGTATTTTTCTTCCTTTGTGGAAAAACATATATTTCATATACTTCACAGTGGTCTTAATACAAAAATGCACAATATGTACCAAATTTAGTACCATTTACTACATTTCGTATACCTTACAGTACGCTCACTATATAGCACTCATTCCCAAAAAAATGTGGAATTTGCATAAGACCATTGGTCCATCAATTCCACACTACATCAAAGACCCATATTACAAATGTTCAGCTCAATCCCTTTTCTAAATATCACAATTAATACCATTTAGTACATTTTCCGCTTTTTGGTACGTTTTTAAAAATCCACCTTCATATATCGATTCCACTTCACAAAGAGTGATCATTATATCAAATTTCATGTTTCCAGCTCTATCCAAAATTTAGTACCATTTAGTACTTTTCGAACTTTTTAGTACATATTTCCAAATCTCAACCCTGCCCCAATATCAACATTTCAAACTTCCAGCTTCATCCATTCACCCAAAATCCAAATTGTACCAAATTTAGTACCATTACAAAGCGTTTCAAAACCACCTCCTCATATCAACCCTAGTTCCCCAACATGATTCTTATGGTGCATAAAACCAAATGGTACCGAATGTAGTGTTTTTCAGTACTTTTTGTACACTTTTACTTTAAAATAAAAAAAAAAAAAACACCTTTAGTGCATCTATCCTACACCCCATCACAACCTTCATCTCAAGTTATCGATTTCTATGATTGGTACCTTTTGGTACTTTTAGTACATTAATGGAATAAAAAAACGCCTTTCTTTTATATACATTGATACCTGTTCTAGCTCTTCATGGCTGCAAAACTATAACCCTAACCCAGAATTCTCTACCCAGCTAGAACTTGGGAGCTGTTTGAGCTGAATTAGCTATGAAAATTTAGTGTAAACAATCTAACACCAGCAGTTTGAAAATAATGGGATGTTTCTTAAAAAGATTGCAACTGTTTTTCACATTACTAAGTAATGAGTTACGTTGGCACAGAATATACGCGTCCAATTCCAATGAAAACCAGTAAAGAAAGTCCTAAAGTCGGGCGGGGCCGATTTTATGATACCCTACACCACTTTGCTTATTTAGTTGAGCTCCACATAACAATTAAAAGTTTTTATGGGAGAATTCAATCATACACCCTATTATTATAATTATAGTTAAAAATTCAAAGGACTAAATATGCCGAAGCATTTGTATTTTTTAAATTTGGACTTGTATTGCCCATTTGGTGCAAAATTAATTTGAAATCAGATAAAGATATATATGGGAGCTATATCCAAATCTAAACCGATCTCGATAAAATTTAGCAAAGGTATTTCTGGGCTGCATTTGATATATTTCCCTGAATATCGTTGTTACGGAGTGCATATTACGGCTGTGGGTAACAAATACTAGAAATCGGATGAACAACATATATGGGAGCTATAGCTATATCTGAATCGATCTTCACCAAATTTGGCATACTACCTTGTAGACTCAATTTGGTCGTATGGTCCAAATTTCATCCCATTTGGGCAAATATTAGACGTTTGGTGCACAAAAAAGGTAAATCGGACGAAGTTATATGTGGGAGCTATATCCAAATCTGAACCGATCTCGATAAAATTTAGCAAAGGTATTTCTGAGCTGCATTTGATATATTTCCCCAAATATTGTTGTTACAGAGTGCATATTACGGCTGCGGAGGACAAAAATAACAAATCGGATGAACAATATATATGGGAGCTATAGCTATATCTGAACCGATTTCGATCAAATTTGGCATACTTATTTTCAGGCCTAATTTGGTTGTATGTGCAAAATTTCATACTATTCGGACTGATATTACACGTTTGGTGCACAATAAAAAGCAAATCGGACGAAGATATATATGGGAGCTATATCTAAATTTTTACCGATTATCCCCAATTTCAATAGGGTTCGTCCTTGGGCCAAACAAATGTTGTTTGCAAAGTTTCATCTCAATCGGATAATAAATGCGACCTGCATTTTGTTCACAAGAATACATGGACAGACGGACTGACATGCATAAATCAACTCAGAAAGTGATTCTATGCAGATCATCAAAAGGAACTATGGGTCTATCTCGTTTCCTTTTGCCTGTTACAAACAAATGCACAAAGACATAATACCCTGACCACCTTGTGGTGTAGGGTATAATGATATTTAGACTGTTATTTAATCACTCGCTTAATACCTTATCATATCATGTAGATCCTTTGAGCACTTAAGATACCCATTCAGTTCGAGTTTTCAAAAATTTCACTGTGTTAAACCCAAAGCACCCATATTTCACAACGCAAGTAAATGCAATTTAAAATTTTAAAATTCTACATTTAACGTTTCACAAAGATAGATAAAAACTTATATTTCCTATGGATACTTTTAGAGTCCGTTTTGTCAGAACTACCACAAAATTGGTCCTATGTAATCCCTACACAAACACAGTTAACAAAATAACAAAGAAAACGCTTGAAGCGGTTTCGTTTTCATATTTTAGTTAAGGTCTCGAAATATTGCTGGAGTCAGTCTTTATCCCACTCTCACTCTCTTTACTAGTTTTTTTTCGATTCTCCCTTATTTCAAATATTTTATGATATCTTTCTAAATTTTTAAATTTTTTGAAATCCAAAGCTAACCTCAGATTTTAATATCCCTAAGCCTATGTAAATATGTTCGCCAACATTGTGGTATACCCGAACCACAACCCCCCTCTCCAATAATGTATGCTCTCATGTTGTTGTTAATTTTCCCTAGAAATATGATTCTTGGTATAATGTGATGTGGTGATGTGCGTGTTTTTGTTGTTTGGTTGGTTTTTGGGTCGAGCAAAAGAGTGCAAAGTAGAGAGACAGAGAGAGAAAAAATGAAAGAGTTAACTCACTCTTGTCTTGGCATATCCGTTTTGATGCGTAGATGTCGTTGTCGCTGTCGTCCTGGCTGTGGCTGCTGATGAAGAATCTTGTGTTTTCACATCCGTTTCCGTTAAACTTGTAAATGTGGAATCCAATGCTGTTGTGTCATTGCCGCCAGCGCCCGGCTGGCTCTGTGGAAATTCAGGGAAATTTGAATTACGTTTGCTTTTCGATATCAAAGACAAAGAGGGCGATGCGGCCGTGCACAGAGGCGTGGGCGGCAACGGGGGTGGCGGTGGTATGTGCACTTTCTCCTCCTCCTCACGCTGCGACAGTGTCAGGGAGCTATTCGTGTCGGAACGAGCAAATTTTCTTAGTTTATTGCTGGTGTTACTGGGTAGCTTGATGCGTAACTTGGATGCGGTTGTGGTTGAAGCTGAGCTTGTAAGTGAATTTGCCAGAGCTGAGGACGATGATCTGCTGTTTAATGTTGAGGCCGAAGATACCAACGATGATGTTTGCTTTCCGGCAACATCCACAACATTTGCAGACGGCTGTTGTTTATGGTTGAATGATGAAGCGCTTGCATTTACCACCACAACATCTGCATTATCTACATCGGCATCGTAGTCAACCTCATCCAGTTCATGGCTGTAGTCATCTTCATCGTCCTCCTTGCCGTTTCCTATGAAAAATTTGGCTGGTTGGCCTACACCAGGCATTCGTGTTCCCTGCTGCTGCTGCTGCTGCTGCTGCTGCTGGCCATGATCGGCCCCAATATGATTGTGGCCTCCCACGTCCTCCTCTTCCCCCTGCAGTTCATTGTCATTTTCAATTTTCGGCTGTTGGGTTGGCAAAGCCGTTGGCCTTCTCTCTTTAACTGGTTTCAATTTAGATGCAACCTGAGGATGTTGCTGATGCAGATGGTGTTTAGCCTGAACGTTTCCATTCACTTTGTTTGCGGTGGCATTGCCGTTTGTCGCCGCTCCCGTCGCCGTGGAGGGGCTGCCATTTGTAGTGTTCCGCACTTTATTGGATGTTATGAATTTTTTATTGCTCCTATTGACAATGGCATTTTGACTGGATGTCGTCCCATTACTTGCGGCCACTGTTGTGGCAACTTTTGGTGCAAAACTATTTTGATTATTTGCCACATTAGCTGGTGGTGTTGTTGCAGCATGATTTAGAATACTTTGCCTTTGACGTGGGGGTCTTAAACTCTATTGTTTTTTTTTTTTTTTTTTTTTTTTGAATGCGTTTGAGTTGCGGTTGTTTGTGTCGATGGGATTGTGTTTTGAATTGTTTGGTTGTTTATTTGTGTTTGTGTGTGTGTTGGGGGAGGGTAAATTGAAGTGTGCATGGATGTGTGGTATAGAGTGCCATAGATTTGGAGAAGAGTGCAAACGGGTTTTATATTTTAGTTACATTTAAGGAAGAAAGAAACAAAAGAGAAAAAGTTTGGAAGTTAGGAAGAATGTTCAAATACAGAGGAGTGTTAGAAAAATTTTATAATTTTGAGGCTATGGTCTCTACTTACCTCTGTGGATTTGGATGTGAAAAATGTTGATTCATCCCGTCTTATATAGCGGCCGATTTGCTGAAAAGGAACCGAAATAGAAGAAACTTTTTAGCATAGGTTGTTTGATATATATAAAAATGAAGGAATGAATGAAAGTCAGGGAAAAATAATTTTAAGTGAGGTGTATGCATGAATTAGTAAGTGGTAATGAAATTTGTTTAATATTAGAGACATTCAAAAATAATTCAGAAATATTTCGCAAAAAATAAGTAGGAATATTAAGGAATTAATCTGTAATGACCTCGATTTCAAATTTATAAAATTTTTAAATGATATTATAAAATTATAAATGACTAGCTGGCCCGGTCCGCGTTGCCGGCCCGTAGTTTTAGTCTTTAATGCAAATTTTGCATAGCATAATATTTCACAAATCTAGCTCATAAAGGTGAACAAATTTTAATATAAATATTGATTCGACTAAATAGAAATAAATAACTATGGAAGGAGGGCAAAATAATTTCTGAATAGTCAAAGTTAATTACGCTTTTACACCCATTACCATAGCACCTCAAATTGCGCATTAGAGTCCCCAAAAAGTCTATGTTCTTGTTCATGGTAAAATTCAATAACGATTAAACAATACCCGCGTTGTTATCCGCCAATCGGTAAACATCACTATAGATCGGCGGGCCTGGGGACTATATGGTGACTGTACCAAAATATTTACGTATGTTGACATTTTTCTGTAAGATGGTTCTCTACTCACAAAGTAGCCTAAATACAGCAAATAATGGCCAAATCAGTTGAAAAACGTGGCCAAGACCACGGTCACAGCAACGTGGCCCAACCAATATTCTCTTGGGGGTTACAAATTCAATAGAAAACAACATTTTTTTTTCTGACCACCAATTAGATGTGAAAGTGGACTTGGGAATACGCCAATGTGGGGACTTTACTTAAATAAATTCCTATGTGGCAATTATCTGTAGGATGGTTCCCTACCCCAGAGTAGCATAAATACAACCTTTAGTCAATTAATGAATGTGGTCAAGACCAAAATGGGCCCTACTCTGAAAATTTCAAACTTTATGCGAAGAGGTTCTCTACCTCCTTAGAAACAAAAATGCCAAATAATGGCTAAAATATTAAAAAAGTGACCAAGACACCAAAAATAGCTTAAATCATACGATGGTTATATAAATATGAAATCGGGTTGTCCCTTATCCGTGAGTTATGATCGATATCATGACCTATCTTGAATGTTTGGGAAGAATTTCTGGAAGGATAGAAATCTTTATCTTACTAAAAGTCCCATTCGCTCTACTATTTTCCACCCTTTATATTTGGTATTTTTCTGATTGTACATTGGACGGATTATTGTGACAGGAAAGAAGTAGTTCCACGCTTTGAAATGATCCCCATTAGGCTTTTTCGGCAATTTTTGTTTGTTCAAATGTGTTCGCATCTTCCAGCTGAACCACGATGTCGGCCCTGGAGTTGAAAGGTAGATGTCAGTTGACATCGTATTTCCTACTTATTTCATTTTTTGGTGAAAATTTGTATATAGTGAAAAATTATTCTTTATTTTGTTCGCAAAAAATTTACTGAATTCAATTAGATAATACAAATTGAAAAAAAAATTGACAAAAGAAGAATAACACATTGAAAAAATCTTCAACTTGTTCGCTGATTTTTTTTACAGCAAATGTTTAAAGATCCTTATATAGTTTGTCAATAGAATGTACTTCTATTTTAAAATTCGATTCCATTAAATTATTTCGACATCATCTATTCCGTTTCGCCACCACATAATTCGGTACTACGCTTCCATGTAACTCGCGATCAATTTCATTTCTCAAGAAATCAAGTCAATTAAATAAATTGGTATTAATATTTGAATTCAAAAAAAATATATATATATATATATATATAAAAAACACTACAAATGTACATTAGAAAAAAGTAAGTAAAAATGGAAAAAAAATCATGCAAAATAAAACATTACTATTGTACATTTCAAAAGTCAAAATGAAAATGTTAAAATATCACATTTTTACGCGATTTTTTTGGATATTATCCTTTTCGGAGAGGAGAGAATTCCGAATTTGTTTGAATCGTTAAAATCAGTCCAGCGGTTCTTAAGTTATAAGCGTAGTAACTAACACAACTTTCTTTTATATATATAGATATTATGAAACTTGAATTTTTGGGCAGATACTAATGCATTCTGGACATTTGGTTTACTTAAAAGTTATCTACTATGACATACAGCTTTTATCAATACATTTGACTTGAAATGAAAATTTATAGGGTAAAGGCTTTATATTATGAATATCTATATTTTGAGTCATTTCAATGCTTCCAGCGAATCGAAATTAAAAAATATCTCTATATGGGAGATAAGACAATAATGAGGGAAATTATGCTTAACTTAAGACTCAAAAATTTGCATTGTGCTTAAAAATTTATAATCAGGAAATTGGGAGATAACTATGACTAAGAGTCAACTAAAAGTCTTTTTTAACACCAAACCATGCCAGACACAATACCAGATAATGTGTCCAATTTCAAAGCACTACATGAAATAATTTGCATTATTTCTTTATTTCAAATTTCCTGTCTGACAGATTCAGAATTTTAACCGAGTAAGGAAAAGTCAAAAGTCGGACGGGGCCGACTATATGATACGCTACACCACTATGTATATTTAGAAGATCTATAGATCATACCAACAACATTTGGCCTTACAGCAGTAATATTTTGGTTCAGGGGGAACTAATATATGGGTAGCATTTCCAATTTTGAATCGATTTTTTATGCCCAATAACATTGCGATGAAGTGCACGATATCCTTTCGAGAAGGATTATAATAAAAATATATATATATATATCGGTGTCGAGTTCCACAAAATGAAATGAAAATTTATAGGGTAAAGGCTTTATATTATGAATATCTATATTTTGAGTCATTTCAATGCTTCCAGCGAATCGAAATTAAAAAATATCTCTATATGGGAGATAAGACAATAATGCACTCCATTTGGGCTGATATTGGCACAATAAACCTTAAATCGGATTAAGGATATATATGGGAGCTTTATCCAAATCATAGCCGATAACATTTGGCAAAAGAATTTCCGAGCTCAATAAGATATCTGGTACCAAATATCATTGTTGTTGAATGCATATTACGAATGTGAGGAACTTAAACCCGAAATCGGGTGAAACATATATATGGGAGTCATATCCAAATCTGAATCGATCTTGACAAAATTTTATACACGTATTTTAGAGCTGTATCCGATATCTGGTATTAAAGATCATTGTTGTGGAATGCATATTACGCTTGTGAGCGTCTATAAACCCACCGTCGGATAAAACATACATTGTGAGATAAAACAAATAAAAAAGTATCGGTCGGTTTTGCCGACAGATGTATACCAATGTTCGATTATTTAAAAATATTTTGACTTCTGTTATGAATTTTTAAAATCTTGACCCTCTATGGAGTGGGTTTTGAAAGAATGGGCCAATATTTCCTATTTCTGAGTAGTTTGGCAATTTATGACAGATAAAAGTATTGAAAATTGTGAAAATATGTATTTTTTGAAAATTTCGACCATTTGTGGGGGAGGTACCAGAAGGAGTGAACTGATATATTCCATCTTAACACCAGACCTTGGGTTAATATAAATACTGGGATATGTGAAATTTGAAGAGAATCGGAATCATACATCACATTTTATGAGAGTTGTAATTATTCAAAATTTTGACCATTTGTGGGGTAGGTACTTTATGGAGTAGACCGATATTGTCCATTTTCACACCTAACTTAGCACTGAAGCAAATATTATTATTTGCAAAGTTGGAGCAAAATAGGATTATCGCTGTTCTTTCTGTGCAGATAATATATATATTTTTAAATTTTCGATCATTTGTGGTTGAGGTACCAGGAGGAGTGGACTGATATTGCCCATCTCCGAACTCGATCTAAGTTTGACAAAAATATTACGATGTTCCAAGTTTGGACCAAATCGGACTCCCTTCGAGAGTTATCATGCACACCAGCCATACAGACAGACAGACGGACGGACATCGCTAGATCGACTCCAAATGCTCTGAAACGGATTTGATCCAAAGAGACCTAGGGTATAAAACCGTTATTTCGACTAGGCACGTTTTGACCGTATCAAATTATATATACCCTCTGTAGCAATATGGCTGAGGGTATAAAAAACTGCACTAAAGTCAAACGTCATCATTTTAAATTTTTTTTTTTTAGTTTTATTGAATGAAAACAAAAAATGTCGGAAATAGCATCAAATTTTAGAATAATTTTATATTTGTTCGAATTGGCGGCGCGTGCTGAGTGCGATGGCGCTGAGTCCTGTTAGAATGTCCAAGATCTTTGGTTAAAATGGTTGCGTGCCCAAGGCTTTAATACACCCTGCAGAATATTTTCAGCATTTATTGTAATATCACGGTCGATTACTACGAGCGGAGAGCTACCATCGGCTGTTATGGCGGCCCATCACCATGGCTGGCGCTTGAGTTCTGGTGGCATGAGTTCTGGTGCACATTTTCAGCTGTCCTCTTTGGCAAGTAAAAACGATCATTTTGCTTGTGTACAAACTGCTGGACAACGAATGTTTTCTCATCGGAGAAAAAATATCGAATATAGCCGTTACATTGTGGTCTATACGAAGAAGTGGACCTTCATAGGCAACTTTTGTCATAATATATTACAACATTTGATTGCGAAACTTGAAAAAATTCAGTTAATATTGTAGCTAAAATTATCAAAATACCGAATATAGGGGGCTACTGTTATATGGGGCCTATACAAAGATCTGGACCTGCATAGACGTTGTATGGGGGTTATACGATATCATTTACCTATATAGACAATTTTCTTTTAGGTGCTAAAGTACTCAGAAAGAATTTCTAATGTTGAATTTCAGACAATTCCATTGAAAAATGTGGCCAAAATCATCCTGCATAGACGTTGTATGGGGGATATACGATATCGTGAACATGTATAGACAATTCTCTTCTGGGGGGTAAAGTACTCAGAAATA